ACTGGTACCGCTAAGGGTAAGCCCAGGCAGGGTACTGCAAACCTGCGCCCAAGTCTACCAATCAAACCACTAAAAGCTGAACCCCAGGACGTGTCCACTCACAGGAGCCTAGCAGGGGGTACCACCCAGAAACAGAAATGTGTATCAAAATCTACAATATAGATAGGGATAATAAACCAAAGGTGGAACCCCCCCCCACCAGGCAGGAAAACAAAAACAAAAGGAAAACTTCACAAGAGGACAACGTACCCAGGCAGAACAGAGCCGGCCGTCATTATAGGTGATAACTAGCTGTGTAGTACCCCGCACTCCTACCAGTGCAAACTACCTCTTACCCTAAGGTAAACAAAGGAGGAGGAACCCCCCACCCCCCAGCACACTCAGGGCAGCCAATTACTTAGCAGCAAAAGACCAACAGAGGTAGACCCCAAGGTAATTTGTGGAAGACAACCCTAAGCCCCAAGGGTGGTACTTACAGGGCCACTTAGGGAAGGGAACCCTAAGCGCAGGCAGCTCGAGTACCTGTGAAGATTACTCCCAGCTCATGCGCCACACTGAAGACAGCACTAAACACAAGGCACAGCACTGACACAAGAAAACAGGAGCTGGAGTCACACAACCAAGCCTCAAACATGTCAGCCGAGAACTGGGGTGTGGGTAGCCGGCGCGAGGGGTCTGGGGTTCCCCTTTTTTCCTCCCGGGAAGAGGGGAGCTGCGCAATTAACGGGATGGCACAGCACGTGGTGACGTCATGCTCATTTGCTTGTTTTTCTTTGGTGAGTTCTGTTCACTCGTTTGACTTTCAGTAGTAGTTTCAACCAGAATACTGGTTTGTTTTAGGAAGCTTACCTTTCTGGGTGCCTGACCCAGTCAATGGCAGACATAGAATGCTCCAAATCACATATGCATTTCTATAGGTCATTGCTCCTCGTGCTTCTCTGAGGGGGCCAGGTTCTGGCTCATGGTCCCTGGTAGGCCTAAGAACTCCATTCACACTGAATGATGCCAAAGTCTAATAGTTCCATATCAGCGTGGATAAGCTCGGGGGGAGCCAAAGGGGCTACCCCCAGAAAATGTGTTGTTCAATCAGAAATAAAAGTTCCATAAAGAGAGAACTCAAGCAAAAAGTTAGAGTGAAAGAAAACACTTTTCACGAGTTGCTTACAAGCAAAGGTTAAGATTAATGCCAACATTGGTATCTTCTCTTGTCACTTACATTACTACTATTGTATAATTAAAACATATATCATAATCAAAATATATATCACAAATCATGAAAAAAACCAGTGTTGAATGTAATGAAATGCCATTTTCTGGGTGTGACCCGGAGGCTTCCCGGAGCTATACAGGCTGATATGCTAATATCAGACTTTGGCATCAGTCATGTGTATGGAGTTCTGTGGGCCTACCGGGGACCACGAACCAGAACCTGGCCCCCTCAGAGAGGCAAGGGCAGCAATGGCCTATAGAAACCCCCGTGTGGTTGGAAGCATTTTATGTCTGCCATCGACAGGGTCGGGCACCCAGAAAGGTAAGCGTCCCAAAACAAACCCCTTCCCTATTCTAGTTAAAACTGCTACCTAACGTTGAACTAGTGGATAGAACTCCCCAAAATGAAACGAGCAAACTAGCATGACATCACATGTCAACGCACTGCTGTCTGCACAACTCCCCACTCCCCAAGAGGGGGAAGGGAGAGCCCCAGACCCCCACGCCGGCGATCCACACCTCAGTTCTGAGGCTGGATGTCAAGAAAATGCAAAAACTGCTGACCGGAGGGAGGGAGGGATGCCAGGGAGCCTCCGGATCACACCCAGAAAATGGCGTTTCATTACATTCAAAGCTGGTTTTCTGGGGGGAGCTAACTACCCACAGAGGAAAGTAAAGGGACTCATCCAAGAGGTGGTCGCTGCTTGCTCCGCATCTCAAAACCGAGACAATTGGCTGCAACCGCCGACTCAAGGCGACACAGGCCCAACTAGGCCCAAGGGCGTGTATGAGATAAGGAGCAGCCAGGACCCAGTTCGACCGCCAAAAAACCCCGCGCCCGAAAGTCAAACCAGGTCACGTTACCAAAGACGGCGGCAAGAGTCGCGAACTTACGAACGTCACGAGCTCGGGGATAGACTGCAGGCTGGCCGTAAGAATCCTGCAGATGACCTGGGAAACCTGCACCCGTGAACAGGGATAAAGGGAAACCGGAGCAACCCAAAATGCGTCCACGGACACAGAAGCCAAGGCTCGCAAAGAACAGCGGAGAACCGCCACGGGCCACAAAACACGATGCACCCCCGGCCTAACCAACCATGCATCAAAAATTCAAGGACCCCTCCAGAAAGCAGCAGTCTCAATCTTTGCCAGATAAGAAAGAAATGGCTGTATATGAACAAACCTACCGTCCCGACCGAAGGAGCAGAAAACCAGAACCGGAGGGGCCACTATAAACCGAGAAGAAAGAAAGAAAAGAGCACTTTGTCCAATGACCAGGACAGCACAGGCGGCGCATGAGCAGGCCGGAGGTGAAACAAAGCACGAAACAGCTTGCGGAACGGCTTAGAAGTAACATCAATACTGAATGCAAGCGGAAGTGACTCCAACAGCGCCGCGTGATACGAGGCGACAGTATGCGACAAAGTGACGGCCCCGAACCCCCACAAGAGAGGAACAAGACAACGCCAACAAAACACAGCCACCTAAGAAGGGACAGAAGGAAAAGGAAGGACCACCAAAAAACCCCACACCGCCGCCAAGAAGCACGCAGGTGGGACACCAGCAACGAAGCCACCTGACCACCAACAGAAGGTGAGACTCGAGGCAGAGCCGAACGAGCTGAAGAAGAGGCGGAGCCACGGGAAGACCTCGGGTGCGACCACAGAGCAGGCAGAGCCGGAAACCCGAGCCGGCAAAGAAGGAGATGGAACGTTTGCCGTATCGAAAAACATCCCAACGCCAGCGAGCCGCCAAGAGGTTGGAGACCAAGACCCTGACAGACTCCAGAGAAGGGACACCGCGAGACTCCGAAAATGCCAACAGGCTGAGAAAGCCAGGAACCAGAATTGAAACCTGGCAATAGGAGAGCCAAAAGGCACAAACAAAACACACAACGTGTAGGACAAAAGGAAGCTGTGGAACGAAGAGGGTAGGCAGCAAACAGGAACGAAGGGACAGGACCAACACCAAAAGCTGCTGGACATGTCCCAACACATCATCAGGAGATTGAAGATCCAGACGGGACATGACCACCACAAGCAAAATCCTGAGAGGAAGCGACAGGGTAGAGAAATACAAGCCAAGGAACACGTGCGGGCACACTTAACGGGGGGAAACATGTTGAACTGAACGCCCAAATGAGCCGTAGAAAAGAGAGCAGCATAGCAGTGTCAGAGTAAGAGACAAAAGAAATGCATGAGGAAGGGATATGGCGGAGGCCAACCCCACACCCAGCGTCAAGTGCAGATAAGAGAGCCTAGAAGGCTCAAGAACCTGTACAGAAGTCGAATGACAGGCGAGAGGCGGGACTAAGAGCCAAAGCTCGCCCCCAGCAAGCACAACTAGGTGAGGACAACTAGGGGAGTACAGAGAATCCAATGAACATTGAAAAGCTAAGCTTGGTACAGCAAGACCAACACGGAATGAGGGATCCAGAAAATCATGGGAACAAAGAACCCAAACAAGGAAGGCCCCATGAAGAAGCACAGAAGGGCCGAACAAAACGCCACAACCATACCCCAACACGCAACCGCAGTATCAAAACCACAGCAAAACATCAACACATAACACCCTCGACACAGGAACATGTACCACATATCAGGCACCTCCACCTTTGCACCTTGAAACACGATGGAGGTGGGGCCTGAAAACTCAAGCATCGGTAGACATGCATCAGAGAGGGACTGGATGGGCATAGTCAGGAGGCGCCTCGAATGGGCCAAGAGGCCTCCTGCAGTCACCTGTGTTCTGATGTTCAAATTGGAAGGTTAGGAACAAGAGCAGCCACGTATGGGCCAATAGGCCAGCTGCAGCCACCCCTGTTTGTATGTTCAATGTTCTCATGTACGTATGTACTCCCATTCGTACCCCCAAAAAACGAACCAGCGCCTGGACGAAGGAGATGCCAGACCACAAACTCACCTGCAGAACATAGGCACGGAAGGGTCATGACAATGACCCTCACCCTAAGGAGAACAAGGGAGACAGAACCCCATATCACACAAAGGGAGGCCGAAAACCAAGCAGTAAATGGCCTAGCAAAAGCAGGACCCAAAGAACCTGTGGAAGGTAACCCCAAGCCCCAAGGGCAGTACTTACAGGGCACCTAGGGAAGGTAACCCTAGGCGCATGCAGCCCGAGTACTGGAGACTCGCTCCTGGCTCACGCACCACCTAGAAGATAAACACCACACTCTAGTTACAGTGCTGAAACAACCACTGGAGCCGGAGCACACAACTGGTGCCTTTAGCATCAGCCGAAGAACTAGGGTGTGGATCGTCAGCATGGGGGTCTGAGGCTCCCCCTTCCCACTCCCGGGGAGGGGGGAGCTGCACAGACAGCGGCGCGGTGATGTGTGATGTCATGCTAGTTTGCTCGTTTTGTTTTGGGGAGTTCTATCCACTAGTTCAGCGTTAGGTAGCAAATTTAACCAGAATAAGGGTTTGTTTTGAGACGCTTATCTTTCTCGGTGCCCGATCTGGTCGATGGCAGACATAGAATGCTTCCAACCACACGAGGGTTTCTATAGGCCATTGCTCCCCTTGCCTCTCTGAGGAGGCCAGGTTCTGGCTCGTGGTCCCCGGTAGGCCCACAGAACTCCATACACATGACTGTTGCCAAAGTCTGACATTAGCATATCAGCCTGTATAGCTCCGGGGAGCCGACGGGGCTTCCCCCAGAAAATTACGGGAATATGAATTTTTTGGAGTAAATTTTTTGTTAAGACTGGCACAACAAGGCATAGTTAATTTTTCCTTGTAAAATATACCTTTCACCAAATGTGAAGTTACCTGTGGGTAGTTGAGGTATTGATTTCTGGTAGAGGTCCACTGAGGTCTTCCACCGATTGGTCTACCGACATACGTAAGGAATGGATTTGGTGCTGTATGTCATAGAGCATGGATCGGATCTGCTGTAACCGCATTATCTCATGTCTATGTCTAGTAATCTCTAAGTGTGCTCTGGAAATATATAAAATACTGCCTTAGGAACTCATATGTATACACTCAGCCATCTTATAAAGCTGGTTCCTATAATGTTAATTTGCACCAGCACAGATATTTTGACCACCAAAATTTAAAAAAGGATGGATTGTGGTTTTAAACTATCCACAATCAAGTCAAATAAAAGTTACAGTGTGGGATAGTGGTACTACAGTACTTATGGTAATGGATACAACATTAGAGTCTATTACACTCTAATAGAATATAATAATAGAGTCTAATAATACTCTATTATTAGAGTTTATTTGTTCAACATTAGAGTGCTCTCACAATTCATCATGGGCACACACTGCACACATTCTGGATGTATAGTGCACTATACTCCATTCTTGCATCAATGTCAATTACCAAGCATTCTGCAAGTGTCCCATCTGCTCTGTTATATCACGCACTGGATAGTATTCAATGACTTGAGTATGGGTAGAGTGCACCATCATTTGGTTATATTATACAAATGAGTTTAGTTTATGCAAAATAAAGAAAGCAGAAGAGAGTTTAAGCTGTACCTCAGTCAGCGTATAATGTTGCATTCTCAACAGCTGCAAAGAGAATGTGAAAATAAGAAATTCACTTTGAAAAAAGGAAAAGATGCTGACTAGAAGGAAAACACTGAATCAAGAGAAGGAAGTGATTAGAGTAACACCAGCCATGTGAAAGCACTTAGGATGTAACAACACTTAACACTTTCGTTCAGTAACGACACAGCATTGCGTCGTTTTTTTAGTAGACGCATTTCTGGTAACGATACAGCATTGCGTCGTTCATTAAAATATTTGCCAAAAATGCGGGTTTTATCCGATTTTTGGGGGACCGGTTTTAAATTGCGCACCAATGTCTTCCCGTTTTGCTTGTTAGGCCTCGTGGCACTCAGGCGGCGTGGCACACGCCATAGGCCCATTGTTTTCGCTCCACTGTTGTGACCGGTGTCGCCTCCCTTCGCGTCTCAAACGTGTGAACATTTCGGCTATTTTCCGTGGCTATATTTCTTACTGTGGCTTTAGAAACTATCTGCGCTTACTCCACGATGGATAGTGATCATAAACAGAGCCATTCCAGGAAGAGACGCGAAAGAAAGGCATGAAAAGGAGTCTTCATGTCTTCACCCCACATACTGTACCATCATGTCTTCACCCCACATACTGTACCATCATGTCTTCACCCCACATACTGTACCATCATGTCTTCACCCCACATACTGTACCATCATGTCTTCACCCCACATACTGTACCATCATGTCCTCACCCCACATACTGTACCATCATGTCTTCACCTCACATACTGTACCATCATGTCTTCACCTCACATACTGTACCATCATGTCTTCACCTCACATACTGTACCATCATGTCTTCACCCCACATACTGTACCATCATGTCTTCACCCCACATACTGTACCATCATGTCTTCACCTCACATACTGTACCATCATGTCTTCACCTCACATACTGTACCATCATGTCTTCACCCCACATACTGTACCATCATGTCCTCACCTCACATACTGTACCATCATGTCTTCACTCCAAAAAAAGCCTTTTACCTTAATTCATTCTTAACAGATACAAACACTTCATTCTTAACAGATACAAACACTTACCTGCATATTCTTTGCATATTTTCAATGTGCCGACTAAGGAGCTGCACCCCAAACTGAGGATCAAGAGTGGAGGAAGTGGGATAGCGTGAAGATGACGTGAGAGAAGACATCCGGGACCGAGATGCTCCCGAAAGACCAGAAGGTCCGGGAATTGCGAGATCTTCGTTGGGGTCACTATGAGGAACTTGTGTGCTGGGTGATATCGGAGGAATGGGAGGCAGGGGTGGAAGGTCTCTCTGGTTATTCTGGGACTCACGAGGAACATTAATTCTTTCATGCTCCATCTCCCTTGATTGTGACTCTCTCACTGTGTTAGTTTGGGTTGCATCTAATTCACTAGGGCGTATTTCACTACTTCCTGTACTATCCTGAGCACCATTATTCTGGGTGCCCTCGGGTCTAATGCCACCACTACCACCAGCATTATCACTATCCACCTCACTACTTTGACTACTTCCTAAACCAGGCTCACTTCTACTTTGTGTTAATCTACTACGTCCAAAGTGAATAACAGGATAGTAGTCCACTTGTAACCCTGCACGCTCCGACTGAGACCCTATCGAGCGCAGACTGGGCGTTCCTTGATTAGGTGCATCTTCATCATCACTAGCCCTCTCCTCTGTCCCTCGATAATTTCTCCGTTCAGTAAGATTACCGTCACTTCTTCTTGTCCCAGACACTCCATCACCTGCCACTGGTGCCCTGTGGTCCCCAGACCCACCTAGCGCACCAGTATCACCTAAACTGTGAACACTTGATGCCTCTCCAGCACTGTCGGAATCTTGACCAGGTCGCTGAAGCCTCGACTCCCACAACAACGAAAGGCGCGTATTTCTCTCAGACACACCACTCGCTCCACTGGTGGCCGATGAACTAGAATCAAGACTGGAAGAAGAGGCACTGTCATCACTAATAATTTGCCGCAAAGTCCGAACAGCACTTAAGCCATAATCCTCTTCCAGTCTTAGATTCAGCTCGGTGGAGGCTTGGGAATCACGACCTCCCTGGATGTCAGGAGCCCAAGTTGACCGTCCTCTGGAATTCTCACCATGAGATGAATCCTGGGGTAAATGGAAGATTTGTTATATCAATTAAAATATAGCATACATTATGTAACTAAGGGCTTTGTATTAACACCTATGTAGTGTCAAATAAATACAATACCAAATGATAAGTAAATACAGAACAAACAATTTAGATCAACCTTTCACCATGTGGATGAATTTTAACTCATGTTGATATACATCTATTTTCTTTAAACATTTTACACTGCAATTCACTTTCACCACAAAATCTTTCACAATTAGCAGATTTCATTCATGCCTTAATAGTTTCAGCAGTGTGTTCCTTAATGACTATGCACTCAACGTCACGTGACTTCCAGTTGGGGTACACAATGTCACGTGACTTCCAGTTGGGGTACACAATGTCACGTGACTTCCAGTTGGGGTACACAATGTCACGTGACTTCCTGTTGGGGTACACAATGCACAACAACCACATGTGAAAAATGCACTGAATCTTGGGGTTCTAACAAAGAAAATGGCAATTGCATCATATTGCAAAAACAAACTGAACAATTCAAAATCTTAATATTTCTCAATGCTAAATCCATGAAAACATTTTACTGTTCAGATCTGAAGGCGTGCATATAATTTGAGCTCGGCATCACTTGACCTCCAGCACAATATTTTTGCATGTGATTTATATACTGAAATATGAATTAATGTAGTATATCCAAACCCCCTATTGACCACTCTACTGCTCTCAAACCTCTGCTGGAAATTCAACATTTTCCTAAAGATCAACACATATTCACCATCAGAGCATATTTTGATTTATTCTAACATTTCCTAACATACTTCTCTCAAGACTTTCATATCCCTCTTAAATTCCTTATTTCTTTTAAAACTGCATAAATTACCGATTCCAAGGACTTCTTATGTATCCAGTCCATCTCGATTCACTGAACTATATGGAACCAAACCATTTGTTGCATCTGCAGATTCATTACAACTAGAGATGCATTCAAGAGGCATTTTATTTAGACCTAAGAAAAACATCAGCATTGAATGTAACGGCAAACCTCTTTCTGGGAGGTTTGACTCTTGGTTTAGAAACCAAGGCACAGAGGAAGCCATAGAGGCTCCCTAAAGCTATCCCACTGAAGTGACATGCCGTCCTACTTTGTTACATCAGCCATAGGAGTCCTGTATGGCCTACAGGAGACCAGAGCCAGAACTTAGCCCCCCCCCCCTCACAGAGGCACATGGAGCAGGAGATTGTTACAATCACCCTGAAAAAATATCCAGAAAGTAAGTGATGCAATACAGACAACTGCAAAGTTCACAGAAAAATTAAGCAATGAAACAGCCAATGACTCCACAAACTACTGTACAGGTATTTGCTCAGAAATGTGCTTAAGCTTCCCCCCCCCCTCCCCCACCCTAGTTACGACTGGCCACCATCAGCTGGCAACTCCACCGGGAAATCCCGGCTTCCATACCATCTTGGCCTCAGTCCAAAGCTGACAGATCATGAACTAGTGCTCCTGGTGGGGGAGGAAGGGGTCTATATTAGGGAGTCAATGAAACCCTACCTGAGAGATGCATTTCATTACATTCAATGCTGGTTTCCCAGAGGTCCTGAATGATGGCAGAATGATGACAGAAGAAAATGTATATATGCTGGTTAGCTTTGTAATGTGTGGCTATGTCTGTGGTAGAATGTAATACAATAATAAAATAAAAACGAGATGCTGGGATGGGAACCCTGACTTAGTGCAACACAAGCCCCACAAGGACTAGGAACTTTGATCAGATAATGAGCCACCAGGACCCTGTTAAACCTCCAAAACCCAACCCAAACATCATCCCACAACATGTTAAGAGAACACAGCAGCCAAAACTGCAAGCTCGTAAACATCACGGGCCCGAGGGAAGATAGATCGTAGGCTAGCTAGGCTAAATGATACTGCAGACAACATAGGAAAAACAAGCTTTGGAACAGAAAACCAAGGAAACTGGAGCAGCAGTGTATCCACCGAAGCATAGTTGATGATGCAAAGGAAGCGATGAACTGCAGTGAGCAGACACCTCAAATGATGTATCCTCAGCCAGCCAAAGGTCTCCTCTGGAAGCCAACCATCTCGTTCTTATCCAGAAGAGGAAAAGCTGCAAATGAAGAAACTGACCACCTGGGCTGAAAGAATAGACCTCAAACCTCTGGAGGAGAGCATGAAGCTCCCCCACCCAACAACCAAAAGTGAGGGCCAACAAAAACAGTCTTCAGGAAAGTTATCCTGGACTGAAGGGGCAACAGAAAATTAAGGGAAGGAAGGCTCAGGAAAAGCACGAGACAGCCAGATATAAGACAATACACAAGATAACTTGTAAAATGGCATTGAATACTGAATGCCAACAAGAGCAGCTCCTCCAAAACTGACCAATAGGAGGTGACAGTATTAGGCATACAATACTGCTCAACAAACAAGACAAAAAGTACAAAACTACCAGCACAGACAAAGAAACACAATGAAGAGAGACAAAGAGGTAAAAGGAGTGTCAAAATACTTCCTACTGTTACTGCAATGAAAACTGTAGTTGGGATTCCAACAATTCAGCCTCCTGGTCACCATACAAATAGTGTTTGACCAGCATCAGAAAATCCATACATGTAACTGAACTGGGGTTAAGAGATAGAGATATCCCACTTCAACTAGTCTAGTCAAAAGTCATTCACCACGAGAGCCTCACAATCAGGTAATGGAGACACATAGGTGGAACACCTCTAATTCCACGCCGATAGAGGAACCAGAGGAACTAATACTACACACCTGGAGCCAAATCCTACACTTATCTTGAAAATAAGTGGGACTCGTTACAAGTGATGACTCAAGGAGGCCTGAATTGAAGAACATCAGTAACAGAAGTGAAGCCAATATGAATTAAAGCTAGGCGCTCCTGTTAGTGCCGCCACCTACTGGTGGCCAGCCATAACTAATGGGGTTCAACCAAATTTCTGAATCTTATGTGGAGTCGTTTGGCTGCTTCAGCACTTAAATTTTTTTAACCTTACAATTGTCTGTATTGCTTCGCTGACTTTCTGGATGTTTTCTTGGTAAGGATGATGGTATAATTCCCTCTCCCTGTGTGTCTCTGTAAGGGGGACCAGGCTCTGGCTTTGGTTTCCAGTAGGCCATACATGACTTCTATGGCTGATGTGACTTTCAATAGGGGGAAGCTACCTTGGTGAACAAGCCACTGTTCGGTCCCCAGTCAAGAAAAATTGCAGTGTGTTATAAAAACACAAGACAGCATACAAATTAAAATAACTCAAGACTAAAATTGCCTGGAGGGTAAAAAATACTTTAGAAATCTGTAGTAGATATAATGATTAAACCCCTCAAGAGTACATCATATCTGTCTTCTTAAGGTTTATGGACTATACCTGATTCTGAGTGGCCCCTCTTCTTTCTTCAGTCACTTGTCGAGCAAACTGTCGAGCTTGATTCAGCAATGCTTGTTGTCCTAAGGTTGCCGGTGGAGGTTCAATAGGATCGGTACCTCTGTCAATCTATAAAATATTAATGAACTAAAATTATGAAACTGCATTAGTCTTTATGACTTCTTTTTCAAAAACTATAGCAACAGTCTGTAGAACATTGAGATAAAGACAACTTACCATTAACATCAACTTACCATTAAACTCAACAAAAATTATAAACTTTTAGGCAAATGACCTGTCACACCACAGCATTCTTAAGACCATTGTGTGATACTAAATATATAATCAATTTATGAATATTTTACAGATTCATTTATTTAAAGCGAACTTTCAGGTCCTGGTAAACTTGGAAGATATTCGACTGGAACTGACACTGCCTGACAAATAGGAATTTAGGGCGCAGCGAGAAGAATCAGGATGTAGAGAAGTGGCAAGTGGGGTTCAACAAGAATGGGTAATTGAACAACTACTTTTCCTGATTAATGTAAATGAGGTGGATCATGCATGTTAATGTTTGTAATTAATGTTAAACTGACAAGAAGACTAGGACTGTAAAATGTTACAGGAATCAGTTAACAAATGAGGACTGGAAGACGGAAGAGAAAACTAGAAAACCATTACAATTTACAAGTTAGGGAACTGTAAGAATCAAAAAGAGAATAGAACCTGGGAGTAGATTAAGTCATCCTTAATGGCAGAAATGCACATTAACAGAACATTAGAGAACATATGTAAGACTATCAAGCATAAGGATGGCTTTCAGGAATACAACCAGGGAGTCATCAGAATATTATACGCTCTTACTTCAATACACACACAAATCACATTAACAAATCAAAGAACAAATCCACTGGAGCCTTGATGAGGGGTTCTAACCTATGTGCTGTGTGTTCCCAGACGCACTCTAGTCAACTGTACCACGACATGGTCAAAAGAATTGCAACCTGGAGTCCTACTGCACCCACGAGGGTCCCTAAATCCTGTTAATGTGATTTCTCTGTACTGAAGTACTACTGGTAGTCATAGTCATAGGTGGTACTACTGGTTGACTGAGCAAGAGTGCATGGGGGACTTGAGTGAAACCTCGGTAAGGCTTCAGTGGAAGCCTGGGTGCAGAAGCACTCCAAGTTGCAATTCTTTTGACCATGTTGTGGTACAGTTGACTAGAGCGCGTCTGGGAACACCCCTCATCAAGGCTCCTGTAGATCTGTTCTTTGATATAGCACGTTAATGTGATTATTGATATGTTACTCTACTCTCATTGTACCACAAGCAGTTACTTGCTCTTTTCTACCTTTCATTACTTGCAGTGTAGCATGTATATTTATGTATATCCTGATGTTTAAAGTGTGCAAATAATATACAGTATATCATTCTTTCAAAACTCAAATCTTAAAATCTACAGCTGTGGTTATCTTGAGGTTCTCTTGAGATGATTTCGGGGCTTTTTTAGTGTCCCTGCGGCCCGGTCCTTGACCAGGCCTCCACCCCCAGGAAGCAGCCCGTGACAGCTGACACCCAGGTACCTGTTTTACTGCTAGGTAACAGGGGCATAGGGTGAAAGAAACTCTGCCCATTGTTTCTCGCCGGCACCTGGGATCGAACCCAGGACCACAGGATCACAAGTCCCGCGTGCTGTCTGCTCGGCCGACCGGCTCCCCATTTATTCCAAAAACGGCTCCCCCAAATGGACCACTCCCAGTGGTCCATTTATTCCCAGTATACTATTTATACCCCATGACATACTTCACACAGCTAATTCCTATCATTTCCACTCTCATAATTATTCTGTAACTCTATGGTATAATACTCATCTCTTTCTCTGTAGTTCCCAAAAATCTCCTATTTAATCCTTACTTCTGGCATCAAATGAAACTTATGCAATCACAAAAGCCACTTTGACCAAACCACACACTAGAAGGTGAAGGGACGACGATGTTTCGGTCCGTCCTGGACCATTCTCAAGTCACAATCGACTTGAGAATGGTCCAGGACGGGCCGAAACGTCATCGTAACTTCACCTTCTAGTGTGTGGTCTGGTCAAACTACTTCAGCCACGTTATTGTCACTCATCGCCTGCACAAAAGCCACCTTTATTTGCAAGAAAACCATTAATAAAGCAATTGTATTAGCAGTAGAGACATGTATTGCACCACATAATACATTTTACACCTAAAAGAAAATCTCAGCATTTAAAAATGACTCACTCTGCTTGCAGCTGCTCGAGACACATTACTGAAGGCTCTGCTGGTAAGAGCTTCATATCTTGACATGAGGTTGAGGTACTGGTTTGACAATTGATTGTAACGATGAGAGAGTTGCTGCTCTCTCTCCACTAATTCGGACTGAGAGAGAAATGGTCCACCGGTCGATCCCCCAAGTCTGCAGGAACCTTGTGTTGGTCGGTCGTGATGAGAGTTGGCAATGCCAGTAATCAACTTGTGGCCAAGAGGGTCAAACTTCACATACCTTTCATCAAGTACAAAAAATTATATTAAGTTAAAAAAAAATACACAAATTTACAAATATTTTGTATACTAGTTTAATAATAGATATAAGGGAAAATATAATACAGCCCATTAATGTGGGATATAAGATAAGGATTATCATCATTATCAGTGTTCATCTACTACTTGAGGGTTAGTTCATCTCTCCCATTCCAACGCACTGCACCAGAAATTAAAAATAAAGACAAAATACAGATCGGATTGTTGTTCTTTTGTGTCTAGCTTTTCAATGCACTCATACTTAGGAAATTGACTTTCTTACACGTATCATTAAACCAAGTCATTTAAACCAGGCATTACATTGTTCTTTCATTTGAAAGAGACAACGAGCTCGATGACCATTTTTCAGCACTGCCAAGGGAAAACTCTATTATGTCTTTCCCGAATTCTTTATCGTGTGGTATTCTGTGTCCCATGTTATTCCAGAGTGAAATTCTCTATTCCTTCATAACCTTCCCTTCAGTATGCCAGCCTTCTGTCTCCTGATCACCTTCCTAAACAGTTCATTCCTACTGTCACCAGACTCTCAAATGCCAGCAAATAGTGACTGCTCACTTGCGAGGGGAGCTCAAAGTTGACTTCCCTTGTATCGGATTCATTCCGAGTGAACATTAGCTCACGTTTGGCTGATTTATCATTACCTCTTATTTTTATGGGTTAGAAATTTCTAATTGCTACTTCCATTAGTTAGTTCTCCTTGTTGACCATCTGCAACCCCATAAGGTTCTCCATTCTCAAACATACCTTGCCGTGATTGACAGTACCCCACATGTTTAAGAATCATGAGGTACTTCCTCGAGTGTCTTTTCTCACCTTTTATTTGTCGTATTCCTTAGATTATACCCCTGTGTGTGTTTGATCAATTATGTCCTAAGTTGTTATATCCGATACTCGAGCACTTGCTCATCTTTTGAAACACAGCTAGGTAATGGAGAGGTGATGACCATCTCAAGTCTTCACTGTCCTACAGTTTTCTTCCCTGTTTGGTTCACATTTTGTTTCTCATTATTCTGTTTTTGTGGTTTTTTTTTTACTTTATGTTTTTAACTGGGCACTAACATGCAACTTCCTTTCATCGCCTGACATCAATCTAATTTGGCATCAAATTCATAATGTTTATAATTCTGTGCTATCTTTCTTACACAACTTTTTACGTTGTTCTTTAAAGAATGTAATACCTTCTATACCGTACTTTTCACAACAGAAGAAGCAGCTGACCTTTCCATATTAGGTTTTATACTAACCTTTTCAGCAAGATAAGTTTTTATACTGTCCTTTACAACGTTAATATATTCTACAATGCCCTTTCAAATAGGTAATAGCTTAATACTACCCTTACCTATTATAATAACTTTTGCATTGTCCACCCCCCAAAAAATGATATGCTGCCCTATCACAGTACTGTAGGTAGTGGGTCCTTCCCACCAACATTTCTATCCCATCATTCTAATCCTTGTCCCACACTTCTACAACCTCCTCACAACCCTCTCATACATTAATCGTTCTACATCTTCACGTCAGCCAAACAGATTTATCCTAACACACACATCCCAAAATGCAATATTATAATATTTCATATTCTTGAAGCAGGCATACATGCAATCAATTTTCTTACCTTACTTTTTCTTTCTCATCTGCAGTACATATCTTTGCAAAAGGCTGAGGTTGGAACCAGTCCCAAAAATAAATCTCATTGAATGTTGCAATGACAAGAACTTGGTCAGTTGGATGAAAGGCCAAGGAGGCAATGACTGTGTTCTTCTCAGTAGTCCATACTTCACTGCCACCCTGTTCAAAAAAATGCAATTATAGCAAATACAAACAAAAATTAAGTTCCAGAAGCTATTCACTAATGCAATTGTTGGGCTGCATCAAGTTAAAAATATAAATCAAAATATAAACTGCATCGACTTAATTTGAGGTGGCGAGTAAATCTTATCCAACATGAACTGCATCAGCGTGAGAAGGGGTATTCACTCATTCATAATGTACTATGTACTATGAGTGAAGCCTACCAGTACTAACTATCCTGTACACATACGAGATACATTAAGTCACCGAGACAATCTGTTAGCTCAAAGGCTATACGCAATACGAATATCTAATGAGCAAGAAAAGTTGCCACGTACAGTACAGCATTTAAAAATATCAATTATATAAAGCTCATAGAAACTTCTTTTTCAAAATACTTAATATCTATGTTGGACTAAGGAACACTGGCCCCGACAGGTTAGGTCGGGGACAGGTTAGGTTAGTGACCTATCAGTCACTACAGGGATATGTGATTAGCTTTTTATGCCATGCCTCCTTGTCTTTTATACTTGGTCCACTTATTACATCTCTTTCATACTCAAAGTTTTATCATATTAGATCTTCAACTGGTGTATGAAAGTGGTTTCGACAGCTTCTTCTTTCAAGGCACTTCACTCGCCAGCCACCCATAAGAGGCACTAAAATATACTTATACTTTATCTCTACAACACAATAGAATATCCACCTTCCTCCAGTGTCCTTTTGACCTACCTTCTCTCAATTAAATTAGGCTTTTCTTGTCTGCCTTGTATATTTCCACCAGAATCTTATATCATATTCCCTCTGTTCCTTGTCTTCTCTAAGACTATAAGAGGGAATACCTTTAACCTGTTCTCAGTGCTGATCCGGTCAATTCTGGTAGTAATCTAGTTACAAACCTCTGTGCTTTCTCAAGTTTTCTTTTGTGTGTTTCCCTTGACATCATGGAGTTAGTGAAGAAATTTTGGTTCAGCAATCTTGAAGTTATCTTGAGATGATTTCGGGGTTTTAGTGTCCCCGCGGCCCGATCCTCAACCAGGCCTCCACCCCCAGGAAGCAGCCCGTGACAGCTGACTAACACCCAGGTACCTATTTTACTGCTAGGTAACAGGGACATAGGGTGAAAGAAACTCTGCCCATTGTTTCTCGCCGGCGCCCGGGATCGAACCCGGGACCACAGGATCACAAGTCCAGTGTGCTGTCGGCTCGGCTGACCGGCAATATTTACTCACTATTGCTCAAGAGCTAGACGATACACAATGACGTAAAAAGCTTCTAAAATCATGGCTCACTAATGACAGGAACATTCCTTGCACCATCATACACAAGATTGTTAAAGTTTACAACCAATACACACATTTTCCAGATTCTAAATAATTAATTGCTTAAAACAATAAATTATATCTATAAGAGATAACTAATTAAAAAGGCTGTAAACATCAATAATATCAAGTGCCTGATAACAAGCTGCAGTATACTCCATATTTGTTTCATTTAGTGATCACTGCTCGAGCACTCGCACAAGAATACATAATAAACAATACTGGCACCAGCATTTGTCATCTATTCTTTACTATTGTACACGAGTCTTACAATGGATTAAATTTTTAAATGCAGAAGCTGAACCAATAATGAGTACCTCGAGATGTTTAAAAGCTGGTCAAACCACTACAATCTTATGTTATCTCCTTAACGACTTGAATCCAAGACACGTTCACAAAGGTAACAGTGAGGCTGTACAACTAGTGACATTCAAGTGACATACAATATGAGATACATTAACATTCATCTAATTCTAAATTTAAAGCACTGTATGTAGAATAAATTCCACTCCAATATGATATACAAATTGATAAAAGGGTGAATCACCAACCTTAAGATCCCACACCCGGACTTCTCCTCCAAGGCAGCCTGAAGCTATAATCTCATTAGACGCAGGATGGAAGGCCACACACCAGGGGGTTCTAGGGTGACCCTCCAGGGTGCATATACAATGACCAGTCTTCACTTCACTCACATAAATGTTATGGTCTCCATGGGTTGAGGCAACTTTGGATCTATGTATAACAGAAAATGAAAAATGATTTCTAAAGTTTGCAAACACGATGCAGTACTCCTCTGAGGAGTACAGAATATTGTAAACAAAACTACAGTACTTTCCTGTGATCACTTTGCTTAAGAACATTCATTCATATACAGTACACACAGTAAAGTCAATGTCCCATGGACAAATTCTATTGCACTATGTTCCATGAACAAGAAACAAAACTAGTTTTAAACAGCAGTAATGAATATAAATAAGACTTACCCATCAGGACTAAACACCATCAAGAATGTAGACTTGGGTGCCCCGGGAAGTTGACATGACAACTGAGAATGCTGTCGATATACCAAGGTCTCTTCTGTCACGCGATGTAGTTGACTAATAGTTGCCCGTGGATACCTGGTTGGCACTTCCCTCCGGGCAAGAAGAACGGCCGTGGGCACTAGAAGTGGGTCTTGGTACCGTACTCCCCCTCCTGTCTCCCCCCCAACTTCTAGTTTCATATCTGTGTCTGGGTCATCCATCCTATATGGTAAAAAATGTGTAGTTCAGTACTATTATAAAAATAAAAAAAACTAATTACAAATCATCAGTATGAATTATAACGTCCACCCGTGACAACTAATTTATTGAGTATACCAAAGCCCACTTCTTCAGTGTGAAGGTGCTTAAAGATTACAGAGGGCAACACAGTCTAAGGCCCCCGGACACACCGCCCGAGGCCCCCGGACACACCGCCCGAGGCCCCCGGACACACCGCCCGAGGCCCCCGGACACACCGCCCGAGGCCCCCGGACACACCGCCCGAGGCCCCCGGACACACCGCCCGACACACCGCCCGAGGCCCCCGGACACACCGCCCGAGGCCCCCGGACACACCGCCCGAGGCCCCCGGACACACCGCCCGAGGCCCCTGGACACACCTCCTGATGCACCTCAACACACTAAACATTTAAATTTTTAGAATTGATTACTTACTAGGAAATTAAGCTATAGAGATAGCATTATTCCATGAATTTTATGTTATAATTGGAATATTTTCCAGCACAGGGAAACTGGAACAAGTGCCTGAGGGATCCACCCATGACTGGTCAACCCTTTCTGTCTCAACTGATATATAGCCATCAATTATTTTTAGGTAACAGTGTGATATTGAAGCTAGATGATTATTATTATTATTATTATTATTATTATTATTATTATTATTATTATTATTATTATTATTATTATTATTATAACTGGTATCATTATGTGCCAAAAAGGAGAGAAAAGAAAGGGAACTTGATGGATGACAAGGGCAGAAAAAAAGCTTTTATAAGTAAGCAAAACCTCTGGAAAAGCTATCAATCCACAAACACCACAGATTATTAGATATACAGTACTAAAGGGCATTAAATTCAGCCACCTAAGAATTCAGATCAGCCAAAAGAAACTAAAGAGAAAACTTGTAGTTTTCAAACAAAGAAAGACAGTCATTCTATGCCTATACAAGTCAAACCAGAACAAAAGACTTGGTAGGACCTTTAATAGATGAAACCAACCAAGTTATAATTGACGATAAAAAGGCAACTACACTCTAAATAAATACTTTACATCAGTGTTCACACGAGAAGGTTCAGACAACATCTCAATACCCACACAAAAGTCTCAAGCAGGTGAAGAAAATGAATTAAGGGATATTCCCATAACATGCTATATAATTAGGAAAAATACTGTATACAAATATCACCCCATATCATTTTGAAAAAAGCAGAAAGAGCTCAGCAGGAAATTACTCTGATCAGCCTGATCTCGCATCTCTGCAAGCTCATGACGAGAATCCTAAGGGAGGGAATCATTCACCATTTTATAGTGCACAAAACAGTAAAATTAGTGCAATATGGTTTTGTTAAAAATATATCCTGCCTTACAAACCTGCTCATATTTCTGGAAACAGTAACCAGCTATTCAGACAAGAGGACTTCCAGTAGATGACGTATACATGGATTTCTTTTTAGGCTTTTGATAAGGTATCGCCTGAAAGACTGGCAAGAAAATTACAAGCACATGAAACAAATATTAGCATACTTGAATGAATAAAATAATGGTTAAAATAAAGAAAGCAAAGGGTCATCCTAAATGGAAATGACTGAAGAAATGTGGCGAGTGAGGGTACCACACTTCCAGATTGGGGCCCCAACTCTTATATGTCATATACATCAATGACATAGATGAAATATTACAAACCACATAATCAAATTTATGGACAACAGTAAGAGTAATGATAAGGAAATGAAAATTAATTGAGGCCTTACTAAGAGATTTACTCTACGTGAACTCCACAAATGGTCAGAAGACTGGCAAATGCCTCTTAATATCGATAAATGCAAGTGTTTGCATGTAGTGCATAACACTGCTTATCACAACTACCAAATGAACAGCCTTACCCTGCAGCAGACTGATGAAGAAAAAGATTCTTAGACTCAAAATCTACACATCATTGAAAGCTGCAGTACAAGTGGGAACTGAAGTAAAAATAAAGCCAACCAAACTCTAGGAATAGTCAAATGAACCTTTGACTTCAAAAGAAAAAAAGAAGCTATTCAATTGTATAAATCTCTGGTGTGCCCACATTTGAACTACTGTATCCAATAATTGAGAATTATCTTCAGAAGAACATGTCTGATTTGTAGAAAGTTCAATACTGGATAACAAAAATCATCCCAGAACTATGTCAGATGAAGGCCAAAGGACTAACAACATTGCAAACCAGACATGACAAGGTTGAGCTCATTGAAACTTAAATAATTCTGAGGAATTTGGAGGATACTGATCCAGACCAGTTCTACAAAAGGTCAAATATAACACATACACGGTATTAACGACCGGTTTGGGAGCCCAGTATCTGGAGCCTGCTATACCGGTCTGCGGTCGATATTACCGACGGTCTGTATTGGGTTTGTTGTGGCATCAGCGTCCCCTCACATGGCGACCAGGCCGCCACCGACCTGGATCGTCCAGTCATATATTACATCTTAATTTTCTTTTAAAATGATTCACTTTAATGAAGAAAATTGTAAATTATTATTAATAAAATATTTTGAAACAGTTTTTATTAAGCAAAAGTCTTTGTTTTCTTATTAAATACCTTTTATAGTATGTATAGGCACTAGGTATTTTTTTTCCCACGGACCTAGTATATACTCCGCCGGGCCATGTGTTCCCATTGTTTACTGTGAACTCGCGCGGCTAGCTTCAATTATGAAGGATATTACTGTACTTATTATAGACTGTGGGTTGGTTGGTGTTGTCTTCGTTGATCCTTCTCTACGGACAACCCAACCCACAACTCGGTAGAGTGCTTATACTAGGAGATCACCCTTGGCACTTCTGGCTCTTGGAGAGGGGCTCAACGTCACACGTTTAGGGGATGCGGCTCCAACATTTAGCCTCGTTGTCACGTGCACACACCCACTCGAGCCGCTGTGACTCCCCACTCTCTCCCTAGGTGATATGATCTCCTCAATCCCCTTTTTGACTTATTAGTATTACCTTTTACCCTGTCCACGGCAGTGGTTCTTGGTTCTTTCTCTCTCTCTCTCCTTCTTTACTACCTCCTGGGAAGCCTCACTAGGACAAGGGCAAACACCAGCAAATTGTGACACATTTACTTGACAAAGCACATACACGATACATACACACATATAATAATAATGAATCCTATACTCTATAATATCACAATCAGGTTGCACTCTAACACCATCAGAACTCTATTATCAGCTTATCAAGTGGTACCCTACCTCCTGGTTCACCACCTGATCTATTAACCTCCTCAAGTTGGTCAAGCCTACATACACTGTTGCACTATCAGCAAGATAATGTATATATAGAAAATCAGCATTTGAATGCAATAACATATACCAGTATAAATGTTCATTGATACTTCAGTATAAAAAACTCCTTGACATAAGAATGCCAACAGTCACTCACCTCTCACTGCGTCTTGCACGCTACTGACAACCAAACACTATCAACTCCCTACTAGTAATCCACCAGAACTTCCCCTTCCACCTCTGGAAGTTCACAACCCTAATATCCTTAGGTTCTTCCGGGCTTCACTACCAGGATCCTCTGCAGCTCCTCCCGGCTGCTATCATGAAGTTTCCTTGTGCAACTTCGGTGCTTCACCCTTCTGTTAGGTTCTTCCACAGCTCTCTTGGCTGCTACACCATGAAGTTTCCTCGAGTAACTATGGTGCTTCACCACCTCTACAGAAGCACGTGACACTCCTCTTCACTGCTGCTTCTCCTCACAGCTCGAGGTCCTCTGCTCCACTACCTTGGAGTCTCATCAGCTACTTCATCTGCTGGCTTCGAAGTTCTCAGCAACTTCTTCCCCAAAAGACAAACCTGCAACCCATCGACACTCCAATAAAATGTTCCCCTTTAACACATAAACAAAAAATATTCACACAATATGTTTGCCTCAAACCTCTATCTGTTCTCTACATGCAGTGAGAGTGGACTCCCCCGTTTTGGGCGGGTCCATACTCCACCTCGCCTGGTGGCGGTCCTCACTCGCTGGGAGGGTCTTCCTCCATCCGGAGCCAGGCTCCCTCAGTCGTCCGCCAGCGCTCAGAGAGGACGGACGTCGCTCCGTGTTCCTCCCTCTTCACTCTCCTATTTCAGGCCTTCTGCCTTATTAAAACATGTCTAACTTATAAATAAACATCGCTACTGTCGCTGGGCACACGACCAACTACAATGCAATCACTATGAACTGGCGTATATCGTGCTTACCACAGATTAACTGGTCGAGGGCGCTTTTCCTCTGACGGCGTCTGGTCAGGGCGCTCCACACAGCCCACAATAATGCCTCCGGGCGGCTTAATATTCACTAATTATCGTCCACGACTTGAGACCACACGTCCCCAGCTCGATTCCACAGCTGGTACGTCCGCACACTTCTCTTCTCTTCGAGATATATCACTAGGGGTTCCCTTCTGGCGGGAGCTCAAACGGAGCGCGGCTTCCCCCTGCAATGTCTGGCACTCAAGTGAGGTCAAGGTCCTCCGGAAGCGAGCCTCACGCCTCCAGCAAAATGTCCACATCTCCTAGCCAGTCATTTATCTATTTTCTTCTGCATTGCCCATAATCTCAAACTGTTACACATATCCAACCAACTATTTTACATATGCGTTATCACCTCAAATTCTGCTAGACCTTCTAGTTAGGTCAGGCTTGCTGAATAACTCTCAAGAAGGGAGACTCGTTTCTCCTGCAGGCTGAGATCATAACACTCCCCTCCCCTTATTTTTGAGAGTTATTCTAGTGGCTAGGCTCGGGATAATACATCCGCCACCACACTGTCTCGTTCTTCAACCGATTGGTTCGAACGGTTGATCTGCTTACGTACTCCCTTAGGAGTCTACAATTAGTTCGTTGCTCCTTGCAACATCTGGCTCACAACTCGCCAGAAACATGATCTTCTCATAAACGATCTGACTTATCTGGCACCTGTTGGCTAGGCTGTCCTCCTTGGACGCCTGCACTCCATCGTTCCACTCTACTTATTGTCTCCACCCTCCGTTTCCTCGTCTTCTCTTCACGTCCAGAGTCAGACATCTACTGTCTGTACCTCCTCTGTCGTCTTCACTCTTCCATCTACTGCCATTATACTTTCGTCTCCTGTCATCATACTTCACTCCATCGTCTTCACCGACGCTCCTCCCTTTCGTCTCCTCATATATCCGAGACCTCATCCTGTTTGACCTCCATCGAGTCCTCGGCTTTCTTCTATTCCTCCATGCTTGCATCATCATCCTCTTCCCACACTTCTCACCTCTATACAACTCCATTTCTTCTCCTTCGACTCTTCTTCGTTCCCTAAAAGTTTCTTCAGGCACTGTATTACATCCAACAGCACTCGACCATACATGTCGCTTTGCCTCTCCCAAAGTCCTCGCAAGCATCTCTCCACACATACTGTCTCTTCTCCTCTCATTTTCTCGGCTATCACTCTTCACCATCTCTCCTCCTCGTTTTCTGTGAAACATGCCAACTCTTGACATCTCAAACAACTTAACTCCACTATCCATATGCCTCTGTGCTCGTGGACAACTTGACGTTCTACTTCCGTCCTCAGTCTGTCCACATCTTTCCTCATTCCCACTCAGCACAGTTGCATTCGCCTTCCGACTCTTAATTTCAGCAGTCCGGGCTCTACTCAGGTCCGCTCTCTTCACCTGATTCTTCTTCGGCTGGGCCATCTTCACTTTTGACCTCACCGAGACTTCATTTTCCTGGGCTGGACCTTCATCAAACAGCCATGATATATCTACATCGATATCTTCCACCGGTTTAATCGACACTGTCTCACCTTCTCCAGTGTCTTCCTCGTCGGCCACCTCTGTCTTCATCACTACCGAGACAGGGTACTCAATGGCTTGGCGGTCTCCTGACGCATCTCCTCGGATGTCAGTCAGGTTCACACTCTCAGGTGTCCCACACGTGCCGTGGCCTTCTGGGCACTCCTCTGGCACAGTCTCCGCTATGACTCTTGTCAACACCTTTGTCCCGCACAAGTCATTCCCCAGGATCACTTGGACTCCTGGAATAGGTATGTCGGGGCACACTCCCAACATCACCTCTGCCGACACATATTCCGACCTTAGCTGGACAGTACAAACGGGCATGTCACTTTCAGACAACAACCCATATACCCTCATCTTCCCACTGCCAGCTAACCGTCGACCATTCCCAATCAGGCTTCTCGTAATCAAGCTCTGATTAGCTCCGGTATCTCTTAAGATACCAACTTCTACCTCAGGTTGGCCTCCTATTCTGATCCAACCTTTGCTCATGAACGGCCTATACCTCTCGTTCACTAAGTTCGCTCTCTGTGGTTTGTCTTGGAACACATTGATATATTTGCTTCGGGGGTCACACATGGCCAGGGTCACAACTCTCTTGCCCTGCCGACAATCTCGCATCACGTGACCCAATCCGTTACAATTGTAACATCTCATCTGTGAAAAATCTCTCCT